CTACGGTGCTGCTGTGTAAATTAGGCATGTTTAAAGATCATGCCCTTCTTGGGACTTTGGTACTGGGAAAGCACCGGTCTGGACCTCAGTTAAGCTTCATAGTTTCATAGTTGCTAGGGTCAGGAAGGACCTGAACAGATCATGTAACCTGACCCCCTGCCACAGACAGGAATGAATGCTGGGTTCACAAGACCCCAGACAGGTGATTATCCAACCTCCTCTTGAATTTGCCCAAGGTAGGGGCGAGGACCACTTCCCTGGGAAGCTGGTTCCAGATTTTGGCCACCTTAATTGTAAAATATTGCCTCCTGATCTCTAACCTAGACCTATTCTCCATCAGCTTATTACCATCACCCCAGGTGGTGCTGGGGGAGAAAAGGGCTCTACCTATTTGCTGTTGATCTCCCCTGATGAGTTTGTAGGCAGCCACCAGGTCCCCCCTCAGCCTCCTGTTGCTGAGGCTGAACAGGTTCAGGTCCCTCGGTCTCTCCTCGTAGGGCCTGTCCTGCCCTCTTACCAAGTGGGTGGCCCTTCTATGAACCCTAAGTTAGGCTTAGTTGGGAGTTAGAAACTTAGGGGGATCAAACTGGACTGTTTCTGGGTGTGCCCAGAAGCCCAAGTATGGATACACAAGGGATTTTTGTGGGCCAGCACAGATGCAGCAAATTTATCTTCTGGCAGCTGGAACAGGGTCAAGCTGGATTGCTTGAAATCTAGGGACTGAAATTCTAAATCCTGCCTTTCGATACCTGCCAAACCACTGTGGATCTGGCCCTAAGTGCATCTCTGCCTCAGTTTTTTTCTTCTGCCTCACAGGTGTTGAGAACAAACATCTAAAGTTGTGAGGCAATCTTATTATTGTAAGCTGGGCTACATTAGTATGAAGGTTGGATGTAACATGATTATCATCTGCATCAATTTAATTGACTGCTCCATCCCCAGCAAAATCTCTCATACCGTGAATCATCACCATTACATCACCAGTGGCATTCAGTAAATCTCCACTCCCTGCACTCTCTACAGTTCCTCATTCTTCCCTCCCCCAAGGAGGAAAGCCCTAAATTCATTGCTTTCTTCCTGCCCTACCACACCTTCCTCTTTAAAAGGCTGGCAGCAACATCAGTCTTGCATCAGAGAAACCCACTCTGACAGTATTCCCTATGGGTAGGCTGTTACACTTTTCCTGGTATTCTGTTTTTGAGGGAAAAAGAAAAACATCACCCTTTTTATTGCCTCCTTTACCTAGACAGGATGCTAGTGTAGTTCCTAAATGTTTTAGCTTTACCGTAGAAAGGAAGTAGGATGTTGGCTATGCTGCTCTCAACTTTTAGAAGGCCTCTGTTTAAGTGGGAGGGGAAGGGGTATGATGGAGAGGGGAAGGAAATGCTTTAGGGGAGCAGATACAACTTGGAAGAAGCAACCCTGGCTTGTGACTGTTGCTTTGCTGCTGAAAACAGGCAGGATGGAGTTCACTTAGTCCCGGTTGCTTACAGTTGTTCTGCCCTTGCTAGTGTTGCAGCTGTCAGACAATGAAGTTTACCTGTAAGGTCCTTGCAGTGATAAAGACCTTTATCCTTATAGGAACTCTGTTCTTCAAAGTGGAAGCTGATGTCACTGTTTTGTCATCCAAGAAAGCTTCCTATGCAAACAGATAACATACAGATTTGCAAAACTGCGTTTAACTAAGTATATCTTACTATTTACGGCTTTCTTCATACTTGTTTATTCAACTTTTAGGAGGGGGAAGTAGAGTGTGCTCTTGCACAGTAATTCAGTCTTTGGGCTGCAAACATATCAAAAGAATGAGTTTCACTGAAACAAAAAAAAGTTAATACACTTAGCAGCCTGAAACCTGATCTTATTAACACTGTTATGTGAAGCTAGCATTGCATGTAGCTTTTGGTATCAAACACTGCCTGTAACAAAACAATGCAAGTAGCCTTCAGAATTAAGGAAATCATGCATTTTCAATAAAGATGTATAAAAGATGCTAATGCTGTTGTATAGCATATTGAAGTGGGCTGACAGCTCAGCTACACTTTTTACCTTTTTTAAATGGTTCATTCATTTGAAAAATGAGCAGCAAAGCGTGCTTAAGTTCAGTAGGGTTTTTTAATGTAAAAACATTCAGATAACCAATTTAAAATTAAATTGGCTTTCCTGCGATAGAAATGGCCAAGTTGATAGTTTCCAGTATTGCTATCAAAAGTACATTGGTTTGGGACTTTTTCCTATTAGTAGTACCACTGTGACTCTATCCAATACCACTTAAAAGGGAGGAATAAACTTGCTATCGCTGGCAGTGTAGTTTAGTTTAGTTGTGTAGGTGGGGCTAAATGAACTTACCTAGTTGTTGATTTAAGTTTTGCTGTTAACTCTAGTGTTTGTGAAGATGTGGCGGGGAAGATGAAGCATCTTGATGCCATTCCAGTGGTATGAGTTTCATCCCTGCTCTTGGTCATGCCGAAGGCTGACCCTGATTGTCTAAAGTATAAATGAGATACCTAGAGACTGAGAGTCAGAGGTGGCTAGCTATGTTGCTAGCCACACCTGTATCTTGGCTACAGTTTTTCTATAGAAATTAGCATGCATTAACCATGCTAGCCATGGGGGCCACTAGAATCCGGAAGACTCCACTTTTCCTGGTTGTCTTGGACAGTAACAAACTTTGTGTACAGTTCATTAGCTTCGATGTTGCATAATTTGTGTTCCTTTAAAGGGGCTCTAAAACTTGTGTACAAAAATGCGTATATGCTTGGCTTGGTTTAGGACCATGTAAACATGTTACATTGTTTTCCTTTAGCTTTCTTTCATAGGTACACATCTTACGCTAGCTTTGAAATATATAACCTTGCATTCGTTGGGTTTTATAGAAAAGTACATGGTTGGGTTCACATTTGTAGCCTGCAAAAATGTTTAGCCACCAAGAGACCTTTAAAAGTGTTCTTCAGTCTAACACTTTTGGCTTAGCTAGCTCAGACTGCCATGCAGTTATAGTCTACAAGCTTCCAACTGGCTTTTGTTGCATCTGGGATGATACTTGAATATTATTGACTTCCCCAGAATATTCTCTCTTCTTCCTTTCTCTTCTGACATTGATATGGAAAGGCTTGGGGTGCCATCTCAAATTATGCATCCAGTACTTTTACTTTAAAATAATTGTGTTGCTTTTCTAGAACATCTATAATACACAAATTTCTTTTGTAGGAGTCAGCCAAGGTTTCTGAGTTAAATCCAAATGCAAAGGTATGGGGGAATCACATGTTACATTTGGAAGCAAGTGGTGCCACTGACAGTAGTGTGAGCAAAACCTGGGAAGAAATACCTGACCAACCTCCAGATTCCTGTAAAGAAGGTATGGATTAATAGTTTCTAAAACTTGTTCAAGCTAAAGCTCAATTCAACTTTAATCCAGAACTTTTTATTATACCTGGGCAAACTTCCTAAATTAAACCATGACTGTGAAAATGATTGAGAAACAAGGATATTTTCTCAAACCTATTGTTGAATAAGTCTTCTACTAAGGCTTGTTCATTTTATCCAGTTGCTTTGTCAGGGCCGTCCAACTGGTGGCCTGTGGGCTGCATGCAGCCTGTGGGTGGTTTGCTCTCAGTGCACAGCACCACTTGTGCCCCACCCCCAGCCAATCCCTGCTTCTGCTGCATCCAGGATCTCTGGGTTCCCACTCCATCCTCCAGTTTCTGCTTTCTGCTCTCACTCCACAAAGTGGGGTGGCATAGCCTGGGGGGGCCCTGGCCATTACAAGTTGGACAACTCTGCTCTAAGTGAGAATGTTAAGACTTTTTTCATTTAAAAGCCACTAGTGACGCTTTCTTGTTTGTTTGTTTTTTGCTGCAGGATTGGATGTCAATGGTGATGGTGACAAAAAGCATCAGAATGCAGTACTGACAGACCTGCGGGAGCCATTGCCAACTGTTCCGGCATCAGACCAAACAGATATGAACCCTTTGGCTCTAGATAATTCAGAGTATGAATCTATGCATGAAACTTCCCAGACAGGTGAAAATTTTTTAGTCCCTTGCATAATTGTTTTTCTGACTTGTGTGCATAGATATATCTGACAGGCTTTTACAAGGGGGAAACATCGTTTTTGTTTTCAAGCCTTAACAACTTTCAGACTGGTTGGGAAAGTACCATACACTTCCCTTTTCATATAAAAATACTAATGTTAATCTGGTCAGTTCTTCTGCAGTATTACAGTCTGGGTATTAAACATCTACAGTGAGTGTATATAGTTGGGTAGTGTTCCTAGTTGGTGTCTAACTTTTTTGTTTAAAGTTGGTATAAAGACTGTTCTGATATTTTCAGTACTTGTAAATCTGAATTCGTTACTCATATGGGCTTATTGCTCATCCTACCCTTGTGGGTCTTTAAAAACTGTTTCAAGCATATTTGCCTGTGTATTGCCACGTAACAAACTTCTTGGAGCAGTCAATAGTCAGACTTCATAGAGGTGATGTGCTTTGGTAGGTTTTTTCAGGTTACCTCTGAGTCGCAACGCTTATACTCAATCCATTGTGGACAGCATATTAGAAGTCTCCTGTTCCGGTGTCTAGTGACTGATTCTTGCGTTAATACTTTGGGGAGAGGGGGGACGCAATACTGAAACATCCATGTCAGATACATTTGGAGGATGTTAGGTAGCTGGGAAATCAAAGTAGAAATTCAGTGGGGTTTAAAGTTCTGAAAGGAGGAAGTATTCCAGTTTGTGTAATAACTTTTTGGGTTTTTTTCACGTGAAGTGTGGCTCTATTAACATTTGAATAGAGCCAAAATAGTAATGCTACAAGCTGTATCGGATTTGCCTGGTACATTTGTGACTTGAGCAGTGTTTCCAAAGTCTGTGGAATCCAAGCCTTCAGAAGAAGATGCATCTTTCTGTGTTTTGCATAGTGAGCAGCATAAATACTTGCAATACTCCCCCATTATGTCCAGAAAACTGGGAAATACTCCCCCATTATTAGGGAAGGGAAAATGGAAAAGATAAATGAAGAAGAGAGAGACTAGTGGTCTAATGGTGCCCATATTTCTCATGGAGCTATACTGAATAAAGCTGGTTACTAAAAACAAACCAAATATGTAGCTAGTACACGAAGCCCACATCATAGTTCTGGTCTTTCAACTAGTCACTAATTAACAAAAATGGAAATTTTCACTCTAGACTAGTTAACTTTTATGTAGCCGTAAACAATACTGGCATAAGAGCCATTGTTGGAAATGATTTTCGGGCTTCTGTATGAGAAGTTTGACACCCCTGGCTAAACATACAACTCCCCCCCCCCCCCCCCCCCCCCC